AGGTAAGGACTAAATACTTAATAAAATTTATTAGAATTTAAATTTTAAATTACTAATGCAGGCATATATTTAAATCTGAATTTATTAACTTGGATTTTTAATAAACTAATCTTTAATGTTTTTAATAAAATTGTTAGCATTTGTATATGAATCTAAGATTATATTAGTATGTTGATAAAATTAAAAAAAAATAAATTAATTTTATTGTACTATCTAAAATATGAAATTTATATGTTTATTTTAAAGCATTAAATTACATTATTTTTTCTAGTTTTATACTGTGGTGAGAAATGTTAAAAAAGCTCATCAGATTCAAGAGTCTGGGGAATTTCAAGAGTTTAATGATGATGTTGAGTATATTTTAGATGCTTTACAACCAAACAACCCAATTGGAACTAGGTATACTAATAATTAGTAATAATTATTAAATTGTTTTCATTAAATGATTTGATTTATAATTCTAGATGTCTGTCTGCAATAACATTGGCTACTAAATGTATGACCCCAGCTTTTAGGATGCATGTTAAAGCACATGGAACAGTTGCTAAAATATTTCGTGCATTGCAAGATGCTACCAAAGATCAAGTATTTATACTTAATATTACTTATTTAGTTTAATAATTTCAAGTAACTATATGTGTTATTATTTTCTAGAGCTTAGGAATGTGTACAGCTACAGTTATGTTTGTTCTAAGTCAAGATCGTCTGAATATGGATTTAGACCGTGATTGTCTTGAACTTATGTTAAACTTATTGGAAAATGATACAAGTCATGATCAAGCCCTTGATGATTGTGGCTTAACTGATCATCAATTACAAAAAACACGTGAACGAGTTATACAGTTATGTTCAGAAATTAAATCTCAAGGAGCTGCTAAATATTTAAATACAGATAATATCACTGTAGGACAGTTGGCTATGGAAACACTATTAAGTCTTACAAGTGCTCGAGCTGGTGAGTGGTTTAAAGAAGAAATGCGACAACTTGGAGGTCTCGATCACATTGTACGTACAGTTGTACAATGTTGTGATCATGTTGACTCAATGACTAATGTGTGGTCCCCAACATTAATCGATCGTATTAAAAAAGTGGACCGTTGTTTGAGGATACTTGAAAATGTAAGTCAAGTTAATTATAGATAAGTAATTTTTATTCTATAAATTGTTTATTTATTATTTTATTTCATAATTTAGGTAACAATTCAAAATGAAGAAAATAATGTGTATTTATTAGATTTTGAAAATGGAATTTTGATTGATACATTAATTAGAATGTTTAAAGTGTGTGATTATGAGATACCATTATATCCAAGTTATGATGAAAATGACAAAGACTCAATAGGTGCAGTATTAAGAGAGTGTCTTACAGCCAATTTGAAAGTGCTTATAAATTTGTCACATGACTCTAATCAAATAAGTAAGTGTTAATATAAATAATATAAAGTATATATTTTTGTAAGTTTCAAAAAAATTTTTGTATATTAATATTATATTACTTATTAGCCCATGGCTCAAAAATTGGACAAAAAGATGGAGTTATTGATACAACTTTACATATTTTTCTCAAAGTCCCAGAATATGTTCCTCATGATGAAAAGTTTGACATAATGTTTTTGGTAATTATAAAAACATAGTAAATTATAATTCAATTGTAATTTCATTATGAATTTTTGAATATGATTTTTTTTTTAGACCTTAACATTATTGATTAATCTGGTTGAGATCAATGTAGAGAATAGAAAACTTATAGCAGAAGCTAAAGCTCCTGATACTAGTGATATTCTTCATGACTGTAAGTTAAATCATTGAAAATAATCTATTGTAACACATATTTTAACACGTTGAAATTATGTTTATAGCAAAGAAATCATTTGCAATTGAAGCACTAGTGAAAATGTTCTTCCAACAAGAAGAATTGGCAAAGACTGAGGAAAAAAAGACTGATGAAATATTGGATGGTGAAAACAAACAGACAGAAAAACCAGCTAAAGACGCTCCATTAAAAGCACATACTCAATATATTGAGGAGACAATTGCATTACGTAAGTATAATATAAATTATTTGTCCAAGTTATCTGAGCAATATATATATAACTTGTATTTAATGAATTTATTTGGCAGAAATTTGATTGTTATGTATCTAGTATAAAAATATTCTTTAAGTTTTCCTATTTAAAGTAATGTCTTTTGTTATTTAAATAAATAATAATTTTTTTAAAAAAATTGTAAAAATAAAACTTTTTTTTTTTTAAGAATATTATTTTGCAATGACATCAAATTAAAGAAAAAAATATATGTTTAATTAAGTCAATACTTTTTGAAATAATGGTTGTAGGTACTTCAATGAATTATCTTGTATTTTTCGAATGATTCTAGTATAGTTTCAATGTAAGTACCTTAAATATTTCAGTAGGTAAGAAAGCTTGTACAATCTAATTTTTCTAACTTTTTCATGACATGTTTTTAGTAGTGATATTTAAATAAAAATATTGATTTTTAGATTTATTCATGAGATTAATGTATTGAATAATTTATGTATCAAAATAAATTGACCTATACATTATATTTTAGTTGATTCATACATAATAAAATGTTATATTTTATTATTTAAGTTCAAAGCATATATCAAAACTTCATAATTACTATAATACTTGTTTAAATCGAGTGACTTATATTAGTGAAACTATTTATACAGTGTTCATTGATTCTTTTGTATTTTAAGATTATGTTAAGTTAAGGTTATTAATTAATAAGAACTTTAAGTAATCTTTTGATGATAATATAGAGAATTATAATTTTTAAATTACTTATTTAATTTATAGTCGTTGAAAAAGCAGGCCAAAATATGCAACACACAATGATAGCATCATATATTGCAATTTTACTTGGTTATATTACAATGGATGATAAGGTAATTAATTAAACTTTTAAGTATTATAATAAAATAACAATGTAAATTTTTTTATAGGAATATCTAGAATTTGTTGGTAAACAGTTACCAGATGGTCGATTTACAGCAATGTTGGCAGTTTTGGATAAATATTTAAATTTCATGAAACTTACTGCTGCTGTAAGTTTAAAACTACAATTCATACTAAATTCATGTTTAAATATACTTAAAATACAATCCAGTTTATTGATCTATTATGTTATTATAATTTAGCCTGGCACCAGAGGAATAAAATCTGTTGAAATGATTATAAAACATTTGACAAAATGTGAAAAACTACAAGCCGAAGCTTCTGGTCTACCTGGCACTTCAGCATAACTATGTATATTGGTTATGCTCTCTAGGACCAAGAATAGTATAATTTGATGTTTTAATATTTTTACTTATGATATTTATCCTTTTATTTGCATATAAATGTATTGATTTTGTAATTTATTTGACTGTAAAGTATTATGTCTTTGTTGAAATAATAACAGAGTAATACAATCCTTTTCCTATTCTTCACGACTTCTTTTATGTCGCGACATTTTTGTGTTTTATAATTTTAAATTGTCTCAATGAAAACAAATTTAATCCGTCTGTTAAATCTAAGTACATTTTATAAGTTGTGTTCTTAATTAATTTTTATGTTTGGTTCATGAGTTTAGTGTTATAATACCATAGGATAAAATAATGCCTTTTTAAATTTATTATTAAATTCATAATATAAAACAATAAATCATGTATTTTCATGATCTTATTGTTTATTTTATTGTAATTATTATTTAATAATTTTATGTTTAATATTATAAAAATTGGTATTTACTAAATAAATAGTCTTTTCTAATTTGTTATAAATTAATATATTAAACCCATTGAAACGATTAAAACTGAGATTTTTAATATTTTGTATTCAGTCACTGGTTAAGTATACTAAGTCTTAACATTTTGAAAAATCAAAATATTATAATAAATAGAATTTATTCATTAAAAGATATATGAAATATGTTTTATTTAAGCTCTGCTTAAAACTAAAAATGTGATTATTTGTAATCATCAAATTATGTGTGTTATTCTACTGAAGAATTTAAATCTTGATAATCTTTTAGATTTTAAAATATTATACAAACCTTAAAATCAAATAATTTTATTGAACTATTGGTTATTTATAGATTTTACATTTTATAAACATAATTTTAATGTTAACTTTTAAAAATATATTTTAATATAATTATCATAGGTATCCAAGTAATATGTATTATTTTGAATTGTCCTACTTGATACCACCGGTTGTCAAATGTCTTATTCTTCTGAAACTGGCCGGATGGCAATTCCACAAACCTACACGCAAATTTCCAACATTTAAAATATAAATTCATTGTTTTTTACACATTTAAATATTTACATTCATATTTATATTGAGTTAATCCAGTAAATTAAACAGAATTCAAAAGTTAAACTAAAAATAAATTAATAATAATCTACTTTTCTTTCTATTTTTCCCATATTTAAATGTTGTGTTTCATATTTCTTACTATTATCGGTACAGATCGTAGGATATAACTATTAACTATGCTGATAAATCTATATACTAATAACGTGGGAAAGTCACAGTCTATTGCTTAATATATTATATTTTTATGTACCTTTATCAACATTAAAACCAGTAGAGTAAAGCTATGCCGAGCAGCATAGTATTGAGAAAATTGTAAAAAATTTGTTTCACATTTGAATAAAACATGTTTTATTTATTATTTTGATTAGATAACACGCTATGTCCATAATATATTATAGGTACTTAATAAACGTGTTTGCGTTCAGCACTCTTGTGCAACGTTTTGTTCTAAGTTTCAAACATCTATAGTATTTAATTTCATGATGTTTCTTAAATAAATAAATGTATGATGTTAGATCTATAAATTTAGAATTCCTACATTAATAGGCACCATATAAATAATATGTATAATATATATATAAATCTTAGATTATAATATAACAATGCATTAATATTAAAATATAATGTATATTAATTATCGTCGCAGCTGAGCTGTAACGTCGTGATCACGTCCAATTAGCTGCTAGAACACACCACGTACGTGGCGGTGCACGCGTGGTCCGTCCGCCGCTGTAAGATGTTTTTGGTCGCTGACCGGATGGTGACGTCCGTGACTGCGTTCAACTGAACGATCATGAAGTTCTCGAAGTCCACACCGGTGCCGTCGGCCTTTTTTATGCCCACCGCATGCCTGAATCCCAGTCCTCTGCACAGCGAATGGTAATCGACATTTGTGTAGTCTTCAGTTATGCACTGCTCGTGCCAGTGCCCGTACGACCTTACCGCTAACACGCCTTCGTTTCTGCACATACAAAACACGTAAAATTAAACATATATTGGAATATAGTCATTTATAGGTATCACTGCAGTGGCTGTCGTAGGTGTATCACGTACGATAACAACACAATGTGAACTATAAACAATTAGTGAATGCGTCGAAAGACCAACACTTCCACGTTAATTGTAGCTGCAGGTGGCAGGTTCCGTGTTTTTGTATCAATTTAGAGGCGTGACAGGCACAGGGTGGGTAGTGGCTAACGTATAATAATTTAACATTAACTAGTATTTAGTATTTACTGCGATAGGGAAGTACCTACCTATACGAGTAGACGTAGGTATGTTAATGATATGGCAGCAAAAGTAGTGACGTATTTACAGTGGTACTTGACCCCCCAGATTAAAGAAAAAACAGATACATGTTCCTGCAGCATAGTTTGGTAAGTAATAAGTATAGGAATTATACGTCCATGAACTTAACCCACCAACTTAATACGATACTCAAAAAACCAATACCAAAATTTAGTAAATATTAGCAAATTTATTGCAGAAGTTGGCAAACCATTTTTTTCGGAGCTGTAGTGTTTTTTTTAAGAAGGTGCGGGCCAAGTTCAAGCAGTCTATCTACTTTGTCTGATCGTCTCTAAACAAGCACAGGTAGTTATTAAATAATAAGTAAATTATAACAAATCTAGGTATTTTTGAAGTTAGCAAATCAAAATTCTATATTAAGCGAATTAAAAAAAAAAAAAAATTAGACGATTCTGATTTTTCCAGCAAATAGGTACCTAACACATTATTATCATCTTTAAATGTATTACATATTGTTATAATAATTATTATTAATTTTTAAACATCTCTACCACGTCTGTATGAAATGTTTGTTGTATGCAAATATCAGTGTTTAAATCAAGTTAAATAGTGGAGGCATAGTTTGAAATATTTAGGTAATGAGGGTTTTTATTTCATTTTTTAGTGCAAAGCTGTATTTTGAAAAGTACTTCTATAAATATTTTTCATGAATTTACGTTAACAATTATTTTATTGAGTTGTGCACTTTTCATAAAGACGATAGACTTCATTTTATCTAAATATCCAGTGACTAGTTTTGTTTAATCATAAAAAACCATGGCGGGACTGTAAGGCGTAAATGCCCCTAAAGTGAAATAATCATTTTTATTTTTTTTTTTTATTAAATATTACTACACTAATGGCACAAATTTACACAACTTTCGTAGAAGTTGAAAAGTCATAAATTTCCAAAATAAAAATCCGTTTTAACCTGTATACATTTCATTATATGGTGATACAGGTTAAGACAACTAAGTTAGATGTTAACTGGAAGAATCGGAGTTAATCGTATTGAGTTAAAAATGTATAGAATTTGATTATATCCACTACGTAGTCTGTTAAAAATTGTATTATAATATATTAAGCTGAGTTTAGACGGAGACATAATTTACTTTACGGCTTTTATTCAATGTAGACCGTTCGTATACTAGTCTGCACCAGGTTTTATATTTCGTATAAATTATCTTTTAATAATATCATAGTTATAATTTTTAAAGTTTGTCATATTTTTAATGTTTTTTACGAGATTTCAAAGATTTGTTGTTATAAAAACGAGGGTGAAATGTAATATATTTTTTTAAATAATTTACGACGTGATAATAATGAATATATAGCAACGATAACGGGCGTGTCATACCTTTTTCCAGCTGAAGTGATTAATCCAATGCATTCTGCTTCGTCGTCGGATTCGGGACAATCTTCTTCACCGTCGCACACTAGTTCCGATGATATACATTTGTCCGATCTACAGGCAGACGAAATGCATATAAAACATTATTTTTCGTTAAATTATTTATGTATACAATTATATACATAAAAGTAAAAGCGTGTTACTTGTACACTAATACGCTTATTTTATGCTTTTATGTTTTGTAAAACTTACGCTTGACAATGATAAACGTTCGTTCTATTACAGTAACCGGGACAGTTCGCGAACTCTTCGTCCGTCTTGTCTAAACAATCCCAACGTCCGTCACATAATCTTTCCGGGGCCGTGAGCTTTAGATAGTCCACGCACGTGTTTTTCTGGCATGTCTTTGGTTCATCGGTTCCGTCACCACAGTTGTCGATTCCATCGCAAAATGCAGTTTTCTCCACACATTTGTCGTTGTTGCAACGAAAGCTGCCCACGTTGCATACTATATGGAATATATGTGTTTTATAAATTGTAAATTGTTGCAATACAGTGTAAGTATTCTTATTTAGGTAAGTATACCAATATACATTTAGTAGGTATTTTTGTGTTTAAGAAGTGTCATTAGCAACTGCCATAATAATTATACATAAATAATTATCAGTATAGTAATTGAATATTAATATATTTTTCGCTAAACTAGTTAGTTTTTCTGTAATAAATCATTGAGTAGGTACTTGAGAATCTAAAAACCACACATTTTTTAAACTGGGAGTCGAAATAAAATCGTGTGGTATAACGTTCCGAAAATATTCTAAGTGTTCATGGAAATAGTTTTTAATATACCTACCTACCTACCTACTTTTAATTTGTATATATATCCCAATATCCGTATTATTCCTTATTGTTTCTGTCAAAAATCTAGTTTTTAAACATTTACAGTTGTCAAATACTAAAATTAAACTTGTAACTTTTTATTAATTAATATAAAAAAAATGTTGTTGGCATCTTTTAAAATGTTTATTATTTTATATGTTCACAGTAAATTTCTTATGTTAATAATATTGCTTTAAAAGCAGTAAAAAAGTAAGCTGTAGTAGATTTGCGTAACGTGGTTATTACTGAAAATCATCAGTGAGACGCCAGGTGTCATTACATTATAATATTAATTATGATGGAATTTTATTTTTAATAGAATTATAAAACGATAAGCTACTTAACTAACTAATTATTGATTACCAAATTAATAAAATAAGACAAAATCAAGTAAGGAAAATTTCAATAAGTGCATTTTCCCATCACCTCATTGTATTGGATCCTTAATTAAATATTGTATAATTACTATAATCTATGTAAAATATAATAAATTACTGCATAGAGTGTCGTTGGTCTTGCATTTCTCAGAACGTTCTTCGCACATTTTAATCGTTTCGTCTTGTTCGTCACGACAATCCGGCACACCGTCACACACTCTTTCCCACGGAACGCAATCGCCGAGTTCACAGCGTTTTCCTCCACAAAAGGGGATGGGTGTTGGTTTTATGCTTTCATCTACAGAACATGAAAAATGTATAACACAACAATAACGAGCATGTATCATATCATATAGGGTTTTTCAAATGCCGTGTGACAAAAATGGTGGGTATCAAGTTAAGTTCGTCTCGTGTTAATTAGGTCACAAATTTAAAATTATCTACCAATATAATTTATGATCATAAGTGTATATTATATTGATGATTTGGCGTATTTATTTAGTATAAATGTTTAATTTCACTGTAAAATTACTGAATTCTCTCAGCTACACCCTAAATATATAACTATGCATACTTAAGTAAATGTATTCCTTTATGGTTTATAATATGCATAGTACTGTTTCATTCATTTGTAAATTGAAAAATCCTATTTAAATTTTTTGTATAATTTACCAGTAATGATGGCGATTTCGTTCATTAGGTCTTCAGCCATTGGTAACCGGACTCGCGCGTTACGATCGCATAGGTTCATGTCGAACTGAATTGACGGTGCGGCCAGAAACAAACCGAAATTTGACTGACAGATGACCGCGGTCACGTGAGATATATTTTTTCCATTCTGAAATCACGTAGAATACTTATAGATTAGTTAATACGGAAATCCGTCATTCAATGACCTTAATAATATGTACATGTGCATATATTTTGCCGCAGTAGGTATCTACAGTGTACCTATACCTTTATATAACAAATAACAATACCTAATATAATATGTAGTAATTTGATCAATTAATTTAACCTTTTTGTATACACAATAATCTACAAATCCTAAGGGAATTTAGGTTTGTAATTAAAATATTCAAATTTAATTTGCACTTATCAAATATTTTTTGCTATTCAGTAATTTTAGCTTTTTTACTTCATTTATTGATTTATATATATATATCGTATTCTTTCTAACAGTAAAAAGATAAGAACTAATAATAAGGTACTAAAGTATCTTAAAAACCTTTTGCGATCTCAATACCTCTGTCTTTTACACTTTTACAGTATAATATGTTATTTATTTACGTAGGTACTCATACAGTCACAGTCTCACAACTCAATTACGGTTTATAGAAAGTTGTATACACTTACTGAACACGATCGGGGTATTTGTGACACAGTAAAGCATAAAGTGTTAGGGTCGTCGCATAGTCCTGTATCCGGACGAAGGAACGCAACTTCAGTTTTATTATTGTTGCGCCGGTCGTTCATGTAGCCGATCGCGTAGCATGTACCGTTCGGCTGGGGCGACGGTTGAAAGGGCAGCACGTCCAGCGGCGTTACACCTCTGCTTAAAGTTACCGAACTAGCCAAATGAAGCAAATCGAAATCTGTGCCTGGAACTTTTCTGATCCCATCGACTCTTATGATCTGTTCGTATGGTGACTTGATCCGGATGATCGAGTACGTGCTACCACCCAACACTGCCGTTACGTACGACTTGTGTAATCTTGAAAAAAAAAAAAACAAAAATAAAAGATGTAATTTTGGAACTGATGTCTATCGGATGTTTGTCGTGTGCGCACTTTAAACCGGTCCTTTTGACAAGCACCCACGAGTCCTTTAGTAACACTCCGGACTGAACGAGCGTACCGTCCACTAAGATGTCGACGTGCCAATAGTACCGTTTCTCATCTACCGTCTTCCGGCCACTACACACCACGTAGAGTCCTTGACATATGTCGGTGAGTTTCAACTTGTTCGTTTTCAAGGGTAGAGCACTATTCCACGACATTTTCTTGTCGTAGTATTCTGAATGCCTGAGGATAACAACAATACCAAATAATGGGCATTAAAACTAAATCGAGTTCAACGCAATAATAAAAATGTTTTGGGTAAGTACGTAGTAAACCAACACATTTATTTTTTAGGCCTACATCAGAACCGTGGTTATTTTATTATTGTATTCGCATTTAAATGGAACTGTAACTTTGTAGTGATTTTATAGGTTCTGACTTAAAACAAGATAATCGATTTCAATTACGGTTCGTAAATTCATTACCAGAAATAACTATTTCAATGAATTTAAAATTGAAATACTATACTACTCATTCTTTTATATTATGAGTAAAGCGATTAATGTATTGACTTTACATTGATATGTGGTTTTCTTTGTGTATGTGTATATATATGGTAAGTCTTTTTTGAGCAATTTATAAACAATTAATTTTAAATTTTCTTAGTTTTTTATTCATAGAGACGATTATAAATTGATAATTGATGAATAAGTAAAAATAATTAAAATTCAATTTTCGTAACTCATAAGTTATTCATTTTTCAATAAAAAAATATCAACATTTTATATTATTTTTTTTAAGGTATTTAATTGTGGGGACATAGAATTTTTATGAATATTATATATTTTTTTAAAATATGTAGATTAGTTTTAAGATATTATTTATTTATGTATGCTACGACGAATGACTATATTCATACTGTTTTACGGTATTTACAGTAAGGTATTATTTACCCAATAAAAAAAAAAAAATTAATTAACTTAACATAATAATAAAAGTAAAATAATTAAATTTTATAACTTTATTAAAAACTATATCATAAGAAATATACTCAGTGATATAGGCTGGCAGACTGTGTCCATTCAGAATTTTTTTTCGTATAAAATGATATATCATTGAATTTAAATTTAACACACCCATTACAGTGACTAGCAGAGTAGTAACCCATATGCCTACTTTTTATTTTAAATGAAAATATTAATAATTTATACGAGTACCTACTTATATAACAATTTACACTTGTAATTTAAATTATATCTGTAGTATATTATGTAAAATTAAATTTGTATACATATGTATTATGTAGGTATATATATTAAGTACATACTTAAATAAAATACTTACGAGGAATGACCGGTTTTATGCTAAATAAAATAGGTAGTTAGGTACCTAGGATTTATTAAAACTAAAGAAAACTCGTATACAAACAAAAAAAAAAAATCTCAATATATTGGGTTTGATCTATAAATAATTAAATAACGGTTTTGATAAAATTTAAATTTTATCAATGAGTATCATTTTGGTTATTTTCGGTTCGGTTCCCAGCCCAGCCTAACCGTTTTGTTATATTTAAGATTTAACGGTGAACACAATAATATATAGTACGTACGAGTAGCCTAGGCTTAAACACGTTTCGTGTGCGATCTTGGCAACCACATCATTATCGTGCATGCACCTCACCCTCCAGACACCGTTGCGGTTCACTGCCACCATGCCAGATCGTCGTAACGTCGGTCGTCCGGTTGCGTCCGATGTGACGGCTGTAGTGCCGTTCGTGATCGCCACTGAAAATAAAACAGATAGACAATAATACCTAATATTATGGTAAGCGGTCACATTAATCGCAGGTATTTGGGGGCGTTTGACATTTTTCCAACTCGATTATAGTTACCGCAGTGTTTCTCGTCACTGCCGTCGATGCAGTCGACGTGCCCATTGCACCACGCTTTTCTTTTGATGCATTTTATCGGCCAGCCGCAAGTAGTCTCGTCAGTTTTGCACTTGGGCGTAACGCAACCGGCCTCGTCCGCACCGTCGTGACAGTCTACAACCCCGTCGCAGATAGCCGACGAATTGTACATGTTCGCCAGTCTCGTTTTGCAGTCGCAGGACTCTTCGTCAGTCCCGTCCTCGCAGTCCACCGTGCCGTCGCAGCGGTGGTTGGACAACACCACTTGAGATATTCTGAAAAGATACGTCATTGAATCAACTTTAATAGGTATCATACACGCAATGATTGTATTCGAGTATTGTCTTGATGCCCAAGGCTTGGTGCTTCTTTCAGATAAAACTAGTTTTGGTATTCGATTTAATTTTGAACGTTGCGGTCTCTACAGATCGTCGTTATTGTGTAGGTACTAGGTACTTATAGATTATAATTTATATTTTACGTATGATTCATTATTTGATCAATTTATTGGATAATAATAATAATAAAAAAAAAAAAAAAATTAAAATCTTCATAAATAATTATTGTTAATAACATTTATCAAGAGTTTTCTGTAATAACATATTTTTTGTTTTAAATATTATTTTTGACGAATAAATTAATAATGTATTTTTTTTTTTTTAGTGTTTCCGATTCCATATATTGTGTCGCGATACAGTTTTTAATTTAAGAACCGATTATTTTTGGTTTCGTTTTTCATATTTTACCTTTTACAACTGAACGTTTCTTCGGTAAACTGGTTGTCGAAAAGTTGTCTTAAGGCGTTGAAAACCGTATCATTTAGTCTCGTTATATTATTACTATTAATTTTTCCTTCGATAACCGCATCGGTGGTTCTATTTTCGATTTTAACGAGGTCTCTGTCCTGGGAAGTAGTGTTGACGTCATATTTTGGTAATGGTGTTGAGATCGTTCCTACAAATGCTACCGTTGTTGGTGTTCGTTTGGAATTGGTGACCGTGAAATTCGTATTAAAATCTCGCGATGGCTGTCCAGCACTTTTTAATTTACTGTACTTCAAATTGCTACGATCAGTATTTCTTGACCGATACAAATTTACATGATACTGAGAACCTGTGTAATCACAATTTTGTTCGTCTTCCGCATTCATACAATCCACATACTTATCACATTGACGTTTTGTTGGAATACATTGTTTTCCGGTATTACATCGAATTCCTGGACAATATTGTAATGGACGGTCTAGTGGCAAATTGAACTCTTCTGAAACAAAATAATCAATTGAACAGGTAAAAGTAAGTATTGAGTATTGAATAAAAATCTATAAAAATGATACAAAAATTAAACACGATCTAATTTATTTTTAACTTACCAGTAGCTTTAATAATCCAATCCATATACAATGCGACTCTAGTGTATACTCCGGGTTCCATAGGTCTTGCGCATCCTTCACCGTGGCTAACTATGCCAGCCACATACCATTTATTCAGATTGTTGGGCTCTCTGCAAAGTAGCGGACCTCCACTATCTCCTTGGCAAGTATCGTGACCACCACTCAAATATCCGGCACAAATTTCTTTACCCTCTATATCAGATTTATGCGTACACTCGGCTAAAATCGGCACTTCTACTTCTCGCATGTTGTCCGCTAAAAATAAAAATCGAAATTACAGTCAACCGTTTTACATTATTCTTTTAGTGTTTTAGCTTTTTTCGCTTACGATCTGGTCCATGTTCGACCGTAGCTCCCCAACCAACAGCTGTACACATTGTTCCCGGGAATGGAATCCAATTCAATTTATTATCAGGCAAACACACTGGGCGAACCCAACGGTTAAATTCTAGACCGCGATCCAATCGTAATACGGCCAAATCGTTTTCCATGGTTGATCTACTATATTGAGTGTGGATTATTGCGTGTGTTACTATTCTCGATTGTTCCATTGGTGAGAACGAAAATCTTCGCAAAATTCCGGCTTGTACTTCATAAAAATGTTTATTGTACCTAAATACAAATTATAACAAATTATATAACATTAATTTGAATAATCAAAAGAAAGATATTAATTTAAATAATAATACAATAATAATAATCGCGTAGGTATAACGTTTTGTCCTTACTGATTAACGCAGTGCGCAGCAGTCAACACCCATTGATCATTTAATATGACACCACCACAATGAAATATGCCGTCTTGGTAAAGTGCAATGAGCCACGGCCATGCGCCAGGGTTGCTGGCGACGCCTCCAACTACTCTCGGATCTTTTGACCTTGTAAAGCGCGAGGTGATGTTATTCGATGACTCTAAATACGAGCTTCTTCTCAATCTATCAGGATCAATATTTTTGTTGAATTTAAGATCAGAACGTATGCCACAAATTTCTTGTTCACATTCGACAAAGATCCCTTGCTGCTTGCATTCGTTTGATAGTATAATTTGATTATTTTTATCGATATTGATATACGGACCGTCATAAGTAGTCAGCTCATTTATAAACTGTATTTTATTTGGCCTAGTTACAAAATCAAAGATTTTTGTTTAAAATATGAATTCTATTACAATAGAGCAGCGTATCATAAAGGTAGTTTACTTCGACATTTCTCCAGATTCAACCGTACACGCTTTTTCCGCCCATGTATCAATGTTATCGTTACCACACATCGGGTACCAATTTCCTTTCCAGTTATGGTGCAGGTAACCGGACGAGTATGAGATGAAAAATATCTAATATGTATAAAAAACAAAGTTAATAATATATAAATGTGTATATTTTTGTTAATAATATTAAATTTTATTAGGCAGTTTTTAAGGTAAATAATTTACATATAATATAAGAAATTATTTGAAATATCTATAATTTTTGTTTATTTATTTATTATTTTTTCTATTATCAGACATTTTTTACAACTAATAACATATTATTTTAGGTAGGTACTATAAATCTTTTTATAATTATATGATATTTATATCTTACTTTCATACTGATTAAAAATTAATCAATTTTTTTTTTTAAATTCATATCTATAATAATAATTATTTTTTTTTTTTTTTTTATTTAGTTGACCCGCGGCTACTAAGGCCATTGGGTTTTTTTAAGTAAGGTTGGTTCGGTAGGTTGTATTTTTTACGATTGATACGGTTGATAGCAAACACGTGTATGTGTGGCAAGGTTTTTAACCACTATGATCCCGAATGGTCACCCATCCGAGAGCTAGTAGCTGTGGCCGTTACTTACTCCCAGTGGCATTCCGCAACTGGAAGCAGCCAACGCGCCACGCCAAGCCACATAATAATTATTATAATATAAATAATTATATATTTATATTATAATTATTATAATATTGAATTATTATAAAATATTTTACATCTAATTTTTATCCTGATATAGTTAGTTTTAAAATAACAGTTAATTAAGACAGGGGTAGAAATATTAATATGAAAAAATAAAACAAATTACAATTGCAAAAATTTTGCAAAATAATATTACGTAGTCTAATAAAAAAAAAAAATTGTTATCGAAACTCACTTGATTAGGATTTTCGAGATGTCTAGATAGTAAAGTGCATTCTTCTTCATCGCGGCCGTTAGGGCAATTTTTAATATAATCACAACGGTTTTGTCTTTCGAAACAGCTGGAACGCTGTGAAACAATATCCCAATCGCCACAACTAAACGTTTCGTTATTGCAACCTAAACATAATAAATATACACATATTATGTGTATTCAATATTTATATTTTTGGACAAATGATTTATCGACAGCAATATTAGTTGTTAGGAATCAGTGCTATGTGCCATACCGAAACAACCCAATTCGTCTTCACCGCTCGGGCAGTCATAATATCCGTCACATAATTTATCTTTGTCTATTCGCTGTTTGCAATTACATTGGCTTTCATCACTCGCGTCATTGCAATGTATTCGTCCGTCGCACCAGTTTTCGGTGTCTACACATCCGGAATTGTCTACACATGGAAACGTATTCGACGGACATTCGAGATTACCTGCGAATCAAAAACGAATTCGATTAATTTGAATATATTAAAAATATTATAATATTACGTTACGCAATATTATACGATGTCAAGTGGAATCATATTTATTTTATTACCTGTTAAAATGTCGTCATTGTTTCTTGCGCTTTTGGCCCTCGTCACGGATGCGTTTTTCGTTCTGTTATCGTTGTTTTTTATAGTTTGGTTCGAAGTATATTCATTATTTTTGTTTACGTTCACAGAATACATACAGTGCAACCTGTTAGATTGCCCCGCAAAATCGGCGACCGAACAAACTACGTCCGTTCGACAAATTAACAAAACTGGATAATCGTTTTGAATCACCGTGGCAACAGGCGGTTTTTTTTTATATGTGTTCAGCGACTGTGCCGAATACTGTATTGTATTTTTATTCATATCTTGTTTATTTTGTTGGTAATTCACTAAATTTGGCGAACACGGTACTGGATAAAAGCATATTGGATACGATTTCGGTAGTACTTGTTGCTGTATCACTTCAAGCTGCTGCAAAGTACTTTTGTCGTCGCCTTTGTTGCTGAGATTTGAATGGTTTAAGTTTTCTACGTTAGTGTTACCTATAATTGTTGAATGATTAGTATTTTGTTCGTTCTTTTGTTTATCGTCATGATTTTCACGGTCTTCTGATGAAGTTCTTTCTTTTACAACTATATTTTCGTCATTTTTATTGGAAGTTGACATTTCCGTAATTTTTTCGTTATCAAATATCAAGTCAACTGTTCTTTCCGTAACATTAGTGTTATTATAATTATTATAATTATTATCGTTAGGTTTTGGTGTTTCTGTAATTGAGTCGAAAGTATTTTCAATTTTTGATATCGATTCTGAAGTTGTTTCTGTAACATATGTTTTGCTATAACTGTTGTCAAGTTCTGATATTTCTATAGTCAAAACTGAAAAGTTTTCATTTTCATATGTCGATTTTGAAGTTGTTTCTGTAGTATATGTTTTACTATAATTATTGTCAAGTTTTAATATTTCTGTAGTCGATCCTAAAATATTTTCATTTTCAGATGTAGATTCCGAAGTTGTTTCTGTATTATAAGCGACATCATAATTGTTATCAGGTTCTGATCTACTTATAGTCAACTTCGAAGTATTTTCATTTTCAAATATCGATTCCGGAGTTGTTTCTGTAATATAAGTATTATTATGATTATTTTCTGATTCCAATATTTCTGTAGTTGACTCAGAAATATTTTCATTTTCAGTTGTAATTTTTAAAATAACTTCTCTATTCAACTCTTTCTGTTGTGCAGTAGATAATCTGTCATTATTTAACTCTGTTGTTTGAACAGTTTCGTTTAAATCCATAATATCTGTTGAACTGGTTGGCATATCAGAAGTAATATGTGTTTGTAAGTTTACATAATTGTTGGTTATAATTTCAGTATGATATAATATTTGTGGTTCAATAGTTATTTGATCATTATCCTTAAGTTTTATAGAATTAGTTACCATATTGGACATTTCCGGTGACAGGTCTCCTTTTGTATCGACAGTTCCAATGTTGTCTCTCTGAATAGTGGTATCTTCGAGTGTTGATAATAATGCAGTAGTAAATTCATTTTCTCCGGCTGAAGTCGTAGTAATGATTTCGTGATCAGAAATACTTCTAAACTGATTAGTAACACTTTGAGGTTTGTTATTAGGAATTGTAATTTTTTTTGATTCTTTTATTTTTTCAATTGTACTAGGTGTATGTTCATTTAAATTTCCTGACGCGAATGTTACTTTATCAAATGGTATTTCTGTTGAACGTGTAACTTCAGTTGTGGTGTCGACCATCGTGATAGTGTCTAGTGGACATTTACAACGGCATATTCCATTGTTATCAATCATTGATAATGCTTTAGATATTCGATTTAAGTCCTCGTAGATTTTATTAAATTTTCCTTTCATTTGTACACAATCAACAATCGTAGTTGTTTCATACAGACCCCGTTTTTCTCTATTAAATTGAGTATCTAACCGAGTTAAACTATTGTAAAGTCTTTCTATTTCATTCTTAAGTTTTATTATTCTATTATTTAATTCACATGAGACGGATATTTCTTGTTCATGAACATCATCTAAAACCGTCCGATAATGTCTAATTTTTAGTTGGCCTATATTGGGTATTTTGTTAGAACTCACGTTGAGTGGTGATGGTGATGTGTCATTTAAATTAATATTTGTATTTAAAATCCTACCTGAAATATTGAAATCCTCATTGATAATGTGTCAAAATTTTATATATTAGTGAAGTTGCATGAAAAATTAATTAATAAAAAGGTTTAATAAAACGTAATGGACCAACTACCAAGGGCCATTAAATTATGTTTAAGGAACTATAAGTTCACTATTGATTCATTAAATGGTTATTGATTGTTTATGCAACTGATAAATAATATGTTAAAGTAAATATAGGACGTACCTTGATTAAAAATATCGTTTACCACGAAAAATATTGATAAACCGATTAAAGCAGTAGAAATTAAAACTGATAAAATAAAGCATTTTCTTTTCCAAAATGGCATATTTTTTTTGTACAGCAAATTTAATTTAGTAGAATTGGTACTGGACATTCCTATACCTATGTGAACGAAAGAACTATAATAAATTACACCTAAAATATTTGCATTTTTTATATTTCTTACCTGTAATATTGTTGAATGACTGTGGTTGATGTAGGTTTTCTTCAAGTACAACGCATAAAAATTAACATTTCAGTACTCCATAAACTATCAGATGTATTTAATAAAATCAATTTCTCATATTATATATTTTAAATAATTTTATAAAAAAATAAATTAAGAAATTAAAATATATTTGTTATAGAACTTTGCACATTTCACGATGATAGTTGTTTAGTGAATACGTATAAAAGACGACTGAGGGCAGTTATGTGCTGAACCGACACTTGTTAGTAACGTATTATAAAAAAAAAAAAAAATCATAAAAAAAGAACAATACATATAGGTATCATGTTAATAGAAATATTGCTTCATTCATTGACGCCTGGATTTGTATTAAAATGCTTTGCATTGCATAAATTGTGCACGATTACTGTAGTTGGGTGTTTTGAAAACTGGATAATAACAATTTGCATATTATAGTACATTGCTAAAGAAATTCCTCCAAAAAAAAAAAAAAACTGTTTTTTGGTTAATAAGTAAGTATATTCCAATACTTACTAACAATAATATAATATTTGTATTCAATTATTTTGGTATTAATTTAATTTTAAAATTTTAAAAATATTTTAGTTTTATTAACTAACACATCATACAACATATTTTTTATGGTTTTATATACATTATTATATATAGTGTAAAAAAGTTTAACATACTTCTGAGCTCTGGGTAGTGGTAGTGACTAGTGGATACCAATACAATCAATACATATAGTTTATTAATATCATAACTATAATATAGTACATTTGATTTTTTTTTTGGTTTATAATAATAATTTATTTGTATGTACTTGCATCCTAAATATACAATGTATAATGTTAATTTATCTGCGTAAAGCAACAAATTAAATCCATACCTACACAGACAAAAATAGAGTCGAATACTTGTGAGATTTTAAACTTTTAACCTGGGTATAATAACTGGTTTAACCTATTTATCGAATTAAGTAAAATAAACTAATAATAATGTAAATATAATTTAACGTAAACTATTCTTGGACGTGAAAAAAAAAATACTTTGATTCTATTTAAGTTATTTATAGATAATATAAAATTTTAATTTTTTAATTTTGATTTTGACTTATGCTGATACGTTTTTTTAAATCAAAAAACTTGAAAATGTAATCTAAGGTTCCTCATAAATTTTTATTCTAGAATTAAAAAAACATAATTTAGCTTAAAGCCATACACATGTTTTATGAGTGCGCACTAAGCCAGCAATATGCATCGTTATATGTATGTATAGGTTATTACTGTAGTACATAATATATTATTTAATAACTTGTTATTAATGTTAATTTATTACTTATATATGTACAAAAAGTAGTGCATGATAGGTATATTATATATATTATATATATTTATATGAGTGACACACATTGGGTAAATTGTAATAATCAGCATTTAAACATTTGTTATTCAATTTTTTACTATTTGAAATAAGTATAAACAATATACACGAATAATGTTATACTTATCTTCAATAAAAATACTTTTAATAAAATAACTAAATGAATAAATTATGTACACAATACATAAATGCATTTTTTATTTAATTAATTTAAATAGTTTTATTATATTTTCTACAATTGAAGGTGAGTTTAATTAAAAATATATTTTTTAATTTATATATTTAAAAAAACATAGGTATTTATCTAAATAAAATAATTTAATGTAAATAATTAGTTAATTATCATATTTCTAATAGTTTATAGACGCGAGACGCAACATTGAAAGAATTTCAATGAATAATCAATTTATAAAATTACATTCAATGTCCGGAAATGAAAAAAGATCAAATTTTCAAAATTTAAGCGATTAATCATTTTTATTTAGCTTCATTCCATCAGATAATACTAACAGATTTGTATTTATTATTAAAATATTGTAAAACATAATAATATACGGAGTAGTATAAGCATATATTTTAGTAATAATAGTTAAATTTAAATCGTTTAATAGGTTTTTAAGCTTGCTCTTAAATTATTTGAGTTATCTCATATAGCTGATTTAGATAATTTGCTCTAACAGTGGGTGACGTGCTTATCTCAATCCAAGAATAAATGTTGAAATTAGTTATTTTTGCAACAATACAAGTATACTAGAAGAAAATTAAAAAAAAAAAAAAAACTAAAAAAATACTTTAGTTTTAATAATTTTATTATTTTTTTTAATTCTTAAATTTTATTAATTTATTTTCTTAGTCAATTCAATGAACTACTTATGATTGTGTGAACATTTATTTTTATGTTATAAATTGATATTGAATAATATTTATAATTTTTTCCAATCTATAAAAGTATTAGGAATTTATATTAAACGTTTATTAATATATTTATACCTGACAAGAACATAAAAATGTAATTTTTATCAATGAAGAATATTCTTTTTTTTATGTTCGAGTTATAGCCATAGCTCATGGGTGATGGGTATTATTTTAGAAATACTATTATATTAATATTATATACAGAAAAATTATCTTTCTTTCTTAATAAATTTAGGATTACATATTTTGCAATAATTAAATCAAGACAAATCACTCAAATATCAAAAAAATGTTATATATGTTTCAAAAAAAAAAATTTATAATAAAATAAATAATTAAAAAAATTTATATTTTCTATCCGGACTATATCTCAGAAAATTTTTTAATCACAATATTGTTATAACTATACGTAAATACAGTCTTCGAAAAAATAACAAGAATTTGATTAATCGGAAATATAATTTATCATTTATATAAAAACATTGGAACCATGATGTACCTATATAAAATGTAAAACAGTTAGCACATTGTTCTATATTTTTACAATTTTATTAAATAATAACTAATATTTTCTAGCTGTGAACTTAGAAGTTATAAATATTTGTTATTTACTGTTGTATCAAGCAGGTTTATTTAAATAAATAAAATTCTACTGAGAAATAAAATTATTTATTAGATTTAATTAAATATATATTATTGTTTCTATAATATAAACTATATAATATTCTACTTAGACTTTCTTCGTACTTCATAAGCATGATTTATTGTTTTAGGTTTTTTTTTTGTTCCAACTATTCTTTAAAATGTTAATATCTTAACCTAACAAAAAAAAAAAAATAATAGTAATAACAGTTATTCATATTTTGAGCATTAAAATATTCGTACCTTTATGGCTTTATTACTTTATTTTTAGTTTTGTTTATTTTAAAATGAATGTTTGTGAAGTAGAAATTGTTTTGTAATGGTGACACATACAAGGCCATAGTTAGGTATTAAATTTTCAATTTTGATAGAAATATTAAATACACAGTATACATCAATGGTGCTGCTAGAGGATCGTTAGGTCCACACTCCATCCTACTAAGTTATTCAATTTTATGAGTGTTAAGTATAATTACCAAAACATTACAACATTATTTATATTTGTTTTAAAAATATGAAATTTGTACTTTTTATTTTTTCACTTTAATGCAATTTAAATTTTGCTGGAAATCAAATATTTGCACCAAAGGTGACTGGTATAAATGTATCATTTAATAAATACTTTGTACAAAAAAAGTAAAAATAATATATTTAAAAAATTAATAGTTTAGAATACAATATCTTAATTGGTTACAACAATTTAATCAATCAAATTTTAATTTTATCTTTATGAAATTGTTTACTAAATAAGTACATTTATTAATCATGTTTTAGAAAGCTTATTATGGAATATTTATGATTGGATTCACTGTGAGCTAAAAAATATGTAAAATATAATAGCCCCTTCTTGGGAATCTAGAGAAACTGACGACAAGTGTTAATTGTTATTTTATCATCATCGATGCAGTTCACCGATTTGACAATAAACTTTAAATAAAATCTACTAAAACTACATAAATTAAATTAATGTATTGATGCTTAGTGCTTACATAATATATTAAAAGTTAAAGTGTTATTTTACTATTGTTCTATTATTTATACAAATATAATATTAATATCTCATACTTCTATATTTTTATGAGGTAAAAATAATACATTCGTTGTTGCATCGAATATCAACAAAGAATCAAAAAAATAAAAAAAGCGGTGAAGTCGCGGTGTTGTGTAACATAAGTTTCAACTTTCAAATATATACCATCATTGCTTATTCTGTAATTAATTTTATTATCGCTGTAATATGAATTCATGAAACTATGTAAACCACGATAAAGAAAAACGATTCAGAACAGAGAAAATCTCTACGTCTAAGAGTATTTTATAATTTATTTATATTACTGTCTATTAGCTGGTAGTATGATGAACTAATTTTTGCCAAAAAAAACAAAACATTTTAAGTCCCTATTATATTATTTGTAAATATTTATTTTTAAAATTTAAGTTTAATTATAGAAGAAAAATTAAATTTAGATTTTTTTAATTACTTTTACTTACGTAATGTTATTATTATGATATGTTTATTTTCTTCAAAATTTGAATTTTAAAATTTAAATGCTTAAAAATAAATTGTTACTATGTATTTTTGATATTTTACATTTCTATAATAAAATAAATTATTAAAAATCTTATTATCAATTAAGCATTTTGATAAAAACAATTTTTTTTATTAGTATTGATATAGATAGAACACCAACATTTAAAATGCTTATAAATAGAATAAGATTACTCTAAATATTTGAAAAATTGATTGTTGATATGATAATTTAACATGTTGATTTCTTAATACGTAACAGTAAGATACGGTTTGCCTTTATTTTGTCATTGTCATAAACAATTGTATTAAGGCCTAAGGGTGACCGTTATCTGTGACAGACAATTTTCTGTTATTTATTGTATTTAAGATTGATTTTCTACAGTATTTAAATATGTTGAGCATATCATTGTAAACCGATATCGTTAGGTACAATCCACTCAGAATTTAAAAATGAGAAATTTATAAGGAATTTAAGTGAAAATTAGAATTCTAATTCTTTAATAGAATAATTATTATTTATTGCATCCATTTAATAAGGTCAACACAATTTTAAGGAACTAAAGTTTTCAGTACGTAATTATCTTTAGCTACTTCTTAATTCGCTGCACAATATACACTACACAGGCCTTTTTGAACACTTCCAAATTTCAATCCAAA